CCGTTAAAAACGAAACTGGCTAAAACGTTACAAGCTTACCAGAATGCTGAGCGGAAGTTTTACGAGATTGTAATACTTTGAGCAAGTTTAGAGCGATTTATATAATATTAGAATTTTCCTATGCACTTGTCAATTCGGGGAACTCCATATTAGCCGCCTTCGCTTGGTCACTTCTCTGCCCACCATCCGCTAGCTTAACGAAAAATTTGTATGTGAAGCAACAACAAAGTTAACTAGCTGTGATGAACGTTGAACACTAATTGCCCAGAAGATAATTTAGGTAGGCCTTCTTCAAAGAAGTCATTCCGAAAGGCCTACCCAAAAAGGACTGAAAAAAATGCTTGCCTGCATGGCTTGTAGGTCGTTTTCTATTTGCAATTTACGCGAATGCAAAAAAAATAATTGATATGAACCTTAAATAAATACCTTAAAGAAGTATGATTTTTATGAATTAAAGAAGCAGTTTTATACATAAAAACTCCCCCAAAAGGCATTCTGAAATACGTCTTACAAAATGCCCTTCTGGAAGCCCTTTTATGGGTAGCGAAAGCCTTCAATTTGTGCCACTCCATACAAAAATGAAAGGAGAAACGAATGTAGAGTGGAAGGCCTGTTGACCTTTTGGAAAGGCTTTTAGCTCCTGAAATTATCTACTCGGTGATAAACTTAAGAGTACATATGTATATACCTTTGTAATCACTTCCCTTTAAGTTTATAAGCATCTTATTTATCAGCAGCTATCACAAGTCGCAACTTTTCAGTTCAAATACGCATTCTCGTTCGTGCAAGTTTTTATGTAAGTTATTCCACACGAAACTGAATTTAGTTCTTTAAATTGGAGGTTAGAGGAAATACTTTTAGCGAACAGGAAATTCCGCTTTTCCATTTCCCTCCTGTCACCGACAACGTACAAGTCACAATAGATTTGGGACTGCTTAGCTGCAGGTATCGGTGTGCGACTTGGGTGTCACTCCGAAAAGTGCTGTCAAACGATATGTATCGATATTTTCGATGCATCGATCTTTTTCGGCATCCCTACGGCAGTGACGCATTAAAAGTGAAAAGCCAGGAATCTACTCATCACGGTCGCGATTGCAAAGTACTTTTTTATACAGCAAGCCCTATCGGTACATCCAATTGTGCAAAAGTTTGTAAACAAATTAATTTAATAAATTTATTGTGCAGAAAGTTATTTGTGTTGTGTCTCGAATACTCGCAAAGCGCAAGTAACCGGATGACACTAATATCATTAAGGCTTTTCATTGCATCACTTTCACACGATTTTGCTTACGCTGTTGAAGAATTTACGAAATATTTAGTAATATAAAGCAAATAATTAACGAAAACTCCCTCGCAAAGAAGTTGTTAACAAAATGTGCGACGGTGTTGTAGAAATTGACGGGTTCATCGAGTATGAGCTGACTAAGGATTGCGACTCTGTGGAGGAAGAGACCTTTATATACGAAGATGAAGACGGGGTGGAGGTGGAACAGCTGGAAGACATTATAATAAAGCCAGAATCGATTATAATGGAGGTAATCGAGGAAGATGACACTGAACAGGGTTATGAAGTGGCCGAGAGCCTTGTGGAAATAGAGGATGAGCCACTACCGGCCAATGTAGAGCTGATTAAAGAGGAAGACATTGAAGAGAAGCCAGAGGTGGCACATTCTCCTCCTAATGAAGCACCTAAAGGCCCTAAACGTTACCTCCTCTTTGACGAACTTGTAGCCAACATAGTCGACTATGATGTTGACGAGACTCCCATTGTTGAATTTTCCTTATCGAACACTGATACGGACGAAAAACTACCTGTCGAATGTGGCATTTGCCCCGATGTGATGCACAAATCGAAACTCTCTGCCCATTTAAAAACACATCTTGTGCCCGGCACTAACCGCTATGCCTGCATCTATTGTGACAAATCATACAAAGATCACAGTTACTTGGCTGGTCATTCTCGGCGTCACATGGGCATTCGGCCGTATGTGTGCGAACCATGCAAGCTATACTTTTCAACCAAACAAGACTTACGTGTGCACAATCAGCGGCGGCATCAGGAAAAAGAACACATTTGTGAGATTTGCGGTAAAACTTTTTCACAAAACACGATGTTGAAGCGGCATCGCGAGTCTACGCACGAAAAGATGAGACGCTTCCAATGCGAACACTGTCCCAAAGCGTACTACAAGAATTTCTCGCTTCAGGAGCACGTACGCAACGTGCATATGGGTAATCGCCGAATGTTGGTATGCCCGTTTTGTGGCATGCAATGCCGTGATGCACACAAGATGGCGCGGCATCGTAAGCTACTGCATCTTAACCAAAAATACTTTCAATGCGAAATTTGCCAAGAAGAGTTTACAGATATCAGCTACTTTGATGCACATAAACGTTCCATACAGTGTCGAAATAACACACAAAGAAAATTGGAAGAAGAGCAATTGTTACAGCAGCATGCAGAGGAGGAGCAATTGCTGTTAGAGCAACAGGAAGAGGACGATCAACTTGATGAAGAAATAGAACAAAAGCAAATACATTTCGTAACACATTCACAGGATCAATTGGAGTTGCAAACACAAGCAGATGATCTTTGTTATGAAATTACAGTAGTCAATAGCGATAATTAAGTATAGAAAAGCTGACACTCGGTAAAAATTTTCAATAATTTCCAAAACTTAATTACGCTATTAAAAATTGATACGAAAGTAATATACTATATATATGTATGTATACGTACATTTGATGAAATGATGTATTAACAAAATTTCCATTGATAAATAAAAAAATAACTAATTTAAAGAATACCAAATATGTGAAGGATCTTCAAGTTCCAAATTTGGAAGAATTTTTTATTATTGAGGATATTAAATATACATATTCAAAGCTGCAAAGATATCATATTATATGCAGGTATATACATATGTATATATGTACATAAACATACATAGTATATTGCAATTTTGAGAATATGTTCTAGAATATTTAGCATTGAGCATACATACATATTTTCTCAAATGCATACATATGTAGAACGAATAATGAATTCAAGTTAATATATTTATGAACTAAAATATCCAAGTAAACACATAAACGAATTAAATTATACATACGGCTTCGTCTTATCCTTTCTTGGCGCATATCTATATATGTATGTATGTACATATGTACATTATATTTCGATAAGAATTTGTTTCCAAATTGACATATGTATGTATATATACATATATTTTCATTAAAGCGGCGCAATATATCATAATATAGACCCATTGTTGTACTTCGAAAGCAATTTCGGGCGTCGATCTCTAGATAGACCCAGCTTAATGTTCTACATACATATGTGTATATGTGGTATTCTTACCAATAACACTTTTTCGGTCACGTTATTTTGAAGGAAATTCCACCACCGTGTCACTTTCTGTCTCCTAGAGTGCCTCTACCGTCGTTATCGTATTCGCATCGGCGTCTTCAAATTCTAAATCGCAACGCTTACTTTCGTCCTCTGTCTCGGAGATATTAGCCACTTCCGTATATATTCCCGCGTCCGGAACCTTACTAGCTCCATTGGTTCCGCCCCGCATTATAGCATGCTTGCTCTTTTCATGCCATATTAAGGAAGGTTTCTGATTAAAGCGCATATTACAAATGTTGCATTCGTACCGTAAAGCATTTTCATGCAACTTCATATGATTTCGCAGTGATTTGACCCTGGTAAATGTGGCTTCGCACTGTTCGCACTTGTAATTACGTTCCCGCGTATGTACCACAGCATGTGTACGCAATTGGTAACCATCAAAAAAGCGTTTTCCACATTCATCACACTTGTAATTTCGTTTATCCAGATGACGTTTTTCATGAATATTTAACGCACCATTAGTTATGAAACCGCTCCCGCAATAGGTGCACACAAACGGCCGCTCACCGGTGTGCCATC